CAGCAATTACTTTTCACCGTAAAAGTTGGCAACTTATTTAAGGTTTCGACAGGCTGAAGCGGAGATTTTTTTTCCCTTACCACACCACAGGCGCACAGATGGTTGGGGGGCGGTACATATGCGCAATATTCTCGCCAATTGAGCATTTGATTTGACTGCCAAACGTTGCCGCGAACTGCCTTTGACAGCAGGCGGCAGGAGGTCGGAGAGCACAGCAGCAGCATCCCCATTCTAGCCGCTATCGAATAAGGAATAGAAACAGGATGGAACCACGAGACGGTAGACTGTAAAACAGGAGGCTGTGTGGAAAACTGAATAAAAGAAGCACCAAAAGGAGACAAAAAAGGTTTCAATGTGGCACTTTTTTCTGGCTGCTACTGCTGCTGCTTCCTCCTCAACGCCATTTCCATTTATGTTGTTTACACTCCCCCCTCTCGCCATCTCTCACCACACTCTGTAGCTGGACAAGAAGAGGGTTTTGGACCTGCTGCTGTTGCTGCTGCTGCTGCCAAAAGGCAAACGACACCCGCCGCTTGATAGGATGCGATGTGCGGGTCATGTAATGGACAGAGGCAGAGACCCTTTACCTTCGCCCCTCTCCACCATCGCATAGGTGACAGAGAGCCGCCTAGAGAAAGTGCACGGCGAGAAGAACTGGGTATAAAAAGTGTGTTTCAGCAGATTTCCAGACAAAGATTAGGATAATCCTGAAAAACAAATTATTGATTCAAACATAGCATTCGCTTCCAGGAAAATAAGAGAGTTTAATGGGATGTCAGATGGAAAGATTTGCTTCACAGATTTTTGTACACTTTAAAAAATAGGAAAAAATACTTGAGAATATTTTTAATTCCCCTAGAAAAGGATTTTGACTTTGTTTTGCTTGTAGATTTCTTTCAGTGTAGTACAGCTACCTGTAACGGTGGCGATAACCAAACCTCTCTGCTTGTTTTGTGCGAGTTGCGTGTTTATTTTTTCACCTCAGTCACCACCATTCCCCTCATTTCCATCCCATTCCCCGTATCCTGCACTCCATCCACTCGTTACATCTTTTTTGTGTCACTTTTTGCTGTCTATGTGGATGGGTGGGTGCGAATTTTGTTGTAAGAGTGTATTAAAGAAACATCTGGGAACCTGTGCCTGTCTCTTCAGGGAAACCGCCTTCTTCTACTTAAATTTAATTTAAAGGATCAGAGAGGCAGCCGACGGCTACTCCTATAAAAGAAAGAGATGTTGTGAGCGCAGAGCCAATGCAAACAGAATCAGTAAACTGGCTCATAAATATGGGAGGGCGTGGGCGTGGCTGCTGCATCGCAACATTGACACAGCATCAAAAATTAGCGTGACGGAGCCTTAATTGTGACCCACAGTTCGGAGGCACAATGGAGGCCAGAGCTTTTGTTGGCCAAGAAATGAGTTTCTTTAGGAGGTAAGTCACGAGGCGAGGAGGCAAGGCACTGGAGTAGCACTAGGCGCCGGAAGTGGGACTGACGGTTATGTCCTGCAGGGGTTACGTTACCCTTTTGTTGAACCCTCCACTCTACTCGACCTTTGTCACAGCTTCGACGACACTTGAGATTGTGGCAGCGGACCCTCAGCTATTGAGATTTCACTTGAAATTAACATAATTCCTTCTTTTCTGTTTTCTATTTTCTATTTTCTAATTCTATTGCTTTCTGGGTGTTCCAACGATCGTAATGGAACGTAATGTAATGGCCTTTGTGTGATGATGATTATTATAAGTTTCATTTCGCTTTCAGTTTCCTTTTTGTATTGCTCAAAAACCTGAGTCCTGGGTTTCGGACTCTGTCCATTAACCCAAAATGAGGTGCAATTCAAAATAATAATACCCGGCGACCCCCAGCGGGGATGACACTTTCGCCACCGAAAAACTTTCATTCACCGAGCAGGAGAGGGGCCGAGGCATCAGTTGCCCGTCGCTGATTGTTTGGCAAAGATTTAGATTTCGGGACACCGTATAGGGTATTCATTCAGTGGGAAACTTACTCTCGGAGTCGGAGAATCATAAATCTTTTTAATTTCATTGATCAACTTTTGGCCGAGAAAAGTTTTGCCCACTGCCCCCCTGCCGCTCTTAAGAAAGTTTTCTCGCACTTGACTCTGTCCCGCAGGATATACAATATTCCCGGCTGACATTTAAATCGACGAGAGATAAATACTAAAACTTAAACTTCCAAATCGAAATTATGTGACGCCTTATTTTGGGGCTCTTTTGGCAAGCATTTTTTTGTCGATTGGGCAGGGCCATAAAAAATCATATTTAATGGGGCAATAGCCACAGGAAGCAGAAGCAGGAGGCTGCGGTACGCACGAAAGCATGTCGGAAGCGGCAAATAAATAAATTCCATTTGGGGATAGTTTTGTGAGGGGTTCTGTGTGCCCGATACACAGATAGGAGAGCTTATAAATTGAACTGGGTCTGTGATTGGATGGAAATTAATGAGGCATATGCTACGGAAAATGTGTTTCTCGCAACAAAGAAAGAGCCAGATTTTGAGTTCGTTTAAAGAGAACGTTCCCTTTAAGAAAATCCAACAATATTAACCATTAATAAAGAAGCCATTTTCGATTGAACATTCCACCACACACACATGCCAGCTACCCAGTTTATAAATTCCCACTCGTTAATAACTTTTGTCTGCGTGCGGGAAAATGTTCATGGTGAAGGTAAATAACTTCGTGGGCGAACAGTATGCATAACTTTTGAGTTTGTTGAAATAGTTGCGGACACGAGCGAATCGTGTCTGTTGCAGTGGTTGTTGTATGTTTTATTGCCTTGTAGCCATATTTCTGTAGCCTTCGCACGGAACAAAAGTTACTGTTTGTCAGTGTGCAATCAATCTGTCAGAGAGAGAGAGAGAGAGAGAGAGAGACTTAATCAAAGGAAAGAAATCCCATTCAATCCTTCCTTCCATTGAGAGATGCGATTTAATAAATACAATATTCACAATGAAGGGAAAGGAATGTGTTTTTCCGCTTCATTCATGAGAAGGCTTTGCATTCTGTCCTTCTTGCTGGCATCATGCTCTGCCCTTTGCTGTCTTCCTTTCTCGAGAGAGACTCTTCCCGTCTCATTTAAGAGATATTTAATTTCAAGAGAATGAATTATAAATGCAATTTGAAAAGGGAGATGTTTCGCTTTCACTCTGGCCTTTGCTTATGATGCATATCCATCCTCTATTCTCTGTTCTGCTGTCCTGATGCTCTCCTACTCCGATGGCCTATGCAGAAAATTAATTACGCTGCTGAAAACTTCCATTCCTGAAGCTCTAGGATGCGGATGCGGATATGAATCCGGCTGCGGATGGGGAAGCCAATGCGACCACAACACTGACCCAGTTGTTTAATTGAATTGAAGCCATAAACACTTGGATCCATAGTGCCAGAGAACCACAGCCACAGCCAGAACTAATGGCAGAACCATCGTCATGGCGACCAGAGGGACAGAATGCGAGTGAGAATGAAAAATTGCAATGGACGATGGACGAATCGCTAAATAACTTTAATTGGTAGTGCGATTCCGAGGCCATCAATCACTTTTTGCCAGCGGATGCGGGTGCGGAAACGGAAATGCCAGCGGAAATGCCACGTGGCCCATTGCTAAGGAGCACTTTTGACAGCTGCTGTGTGGTGCTTGTCCTGGCCTGCCCCCGTCGCTTTTGCAATGACACCAAAAATATGGTACACAGAAAAATTAAGAAAAAAAAAAAATGAAACTGAGAATTAATCAAATTGCACATTTCATCAGAATGAAAACAACAAACAAGCGCAAATGTGCGACAGGCACCCGGCCCGGCCCCGGCCCCGGCGCCCGTTCCCCGGCAATTCTACTCGGATTCCCCGGGGGGAAAAAAAAATTTGTTGACATCTTCTGAGCCAACACGTAGCATCAACAGAAGCAACAAAAGCGGAGTAAAAGTAGTAAACACTTGACAAGAGCCAACAAAATAAAGGAAAAAGAGGAGAAACGGCAAAACAGAATGCTCCGACTTGAAGATACCTCGCTTTACTGGGTTCCCTTAATAGTTCTTATAATCGGAAAGTTAACTTATTTAAATATAATTATTTGCAGAGGTTTGCAGAAAATTATAGAGGATTAAGGTAAATGTCTTGATTCTGACTCTAATAATTCTCTAATCAAAATGAGTGCTGGCACTTTGGTAGATAATTGTTAAACCAACATACCCTTCCCTTTTACGAACGCCAGGATATACTCGCACTCGTAAAAACAACAGCAGAGGCAAGAAAGAGCGAAGCAGCAGCAGCAAATGTTTGCTTAAAAATGATGCGAGTACCAGGAGACAAAGGAATTCGGTGGGTGGACATAGCTGCTGCTGCTGCTGCTGTTACTCCTCCGTCTACTCCGCTTTCAACTTGTGCTTCTGCCTCTGACAGTTGCAAGACGCGTTGACAGTGACAAAGACAATCATGATCCTTGCGACGATGATGATGATAATGCGGACGATGGTTATGAATGGCCCAGATGATGATGATGGTGCTGCTGATGAGAGAGGAGGCCAACATTTGGCATAATCCTGCTGACAAAATGTCATTACACCATCTACATACATAGTGAAGATGCCTTTTGAAGTTGGCCAACGCAGATGAGGGGGGGTTTCCTCGCAGGGGGTCTTTGCAAATAAATATGAATGAATTCCCCTGACAACAGAGTAGGGAACGATGGGTGAGGGGCTGGCACGTTGACACCCCCGTGAGTTTATTACCATATTGAAACAGACAAAGTTTTGTAAGAAATATTTGAGAAAAGTCATTTGATTATTTCGCTTTTACAATTTGGGAGGAGAAGAAGCATGAGATACCCTAGAAAATCTTTGAACAGTAAAACGGTCTATGACTGGGGTCGTGAACTCTGTACGTGGCCAAAACAGCTTTACAATATCATAAAACACTGCTGCCAAAAGGGGAGCATACAATCATCGTACAACAATGTGTATATCATTCTTCTAATGTTGACTTACCGCGCGAGTGGTCCTGCTTTGGAGTAGTCCTTGTCCTGGGAGTCTGTTTCAGCAGTTATTCCACTTCCGCGTGGTGCTTTCCCCCCTCAGACACGGGACACGGGACACGGGACACGAGACACGGATACGGGCATTGGATGTCGGATGGCAGTCACGCGAGAAGTCACTCCACACACAGTTGCAGTCATTGACAAATGGCCCGAGAGAGCGAGAGAGAGATACAACTTTTCACTTTTGTCTTTATTATATTTTGTAGTCGTATGTGTGTGTTGCAGTGTGTTTTTTGGGTGGGCACACTGGTACTCCTCCTACTACTCCTCCTCTTCTGCTCTTTCTCCGGTTGAGTCTTGCAATGCCTCTCCCCTCTGTTCTGTTCTGTTCTGTTCTGTACCGTTATGTTCTGCAAGTCTTAGGCTCTGGCTCTGGTCTTTGCCTGCTCATGGGTCTTGCACTTCAGCTCCTCCCCTGTTTTAGGCTGCTTTCTCGCGTATTGGCCTAGTTTGTCTAGGCTTTTGGGGTGTGTGGGCCTGGGCCTGGAACGGCACTTGTCTAATGCTTTGTCTGCCAGACGGGGCGACGCTCTGTCTTTGCCTGCACTTGAGGAACACTTCTCCTCTCCGTTCTCTGTTTCTCTCTGTTCTACTGTGTGTGTGTCTGCATGCGAGTGAGTGTGGTTGAATTAGCGGGGGATATAACAGGCCAAGACACGAACTTTTGACCCCGTTCCGACCATCATAGGCAACAATAACAGCTGCTTGCGAGAAGAGGCTACTCGGGCAGAAGGCTTTTTCTTTTTGTATGTGTGTTTGTACCACTGGCCGGCTTTTTGCATTTTTTACACTTTATTTGAACATTTATCCAAAAAACACTACATGTGTGCCTACAGTTATGACGGTGACTGGTTCTTGACTTTGTTTATTGATTACCCTGACGCCTGCCGACGATCGGTGGCTAGGGGGAAACGACGGAGTTTACGACGCCAATCACAAAATCAAAGCAATAAACAGTAAATTGTATGCAAATTGCGGTTTATTTATATCAGGCTGTCACTCTCACACACACACAGAGCGCAGATTGAGCGTCTTCGGCGCTCACACACTCGCAGGCCACTTTACACGCTTTGCTTTGGTTATAAATTGTATTTCCATAAATTGGCTAGTTTTATTGTTTAGCACACAATTCACAGCATCGCGTCTTACGTTGTTTGCTCCGTTAGCCTGCAAGTTTCGACAAAAACACACCCGCGGACGTTACCGTTTCGTCAATCGCGCCACGTGAACTACTGAATGCGGGAATGGAGCAGCTGGGCAGCTGGAGCTTCGCAGAGAACAGTTAAGCTTCGCAGTGCACAGTGGAGCTTCAGTTGAGCTTCCAAAGGATGTTAAATCGTGTTCGCGCGCGCCACTCGGATTTATCAAAACAATAGGACCCTCACAAATATACCTTTTCGCTTTCAAAATATACCGTAGACATACCAAATCGTCCGGACTCTTTTTTTCGTTAAAAATATAGAAAATAATACCCCAGAAATATACCGGAAGTAATATACGTTCACACATTCAAATGTGCGGAGTCCGAAATTGTTTTCCTCGATTTCTTATATTCTATTTTATATTACTAGCTTGATAATACTTGCAGCATTAAAACTATAATTTTATCCGGTTAATGAATCAATTCTGCATAAGATTGGTTAGTTTTAATGACTTGATTTTCTTGGATTGTTAACTAAATTAAGATTAAGTTAATATACCACTGGAAGGCAGGATGTTTTAACATCCTTGAAAGGGACTTTTTAATTTTTTCCCAGCCAAAAGTAGGGAAATTTCGAAAGCTCTTCTCATTTATGGCATTGGAAAGTAGGAACAGTTTCTGAGCAAAAAAGTTGGCGCTAAATTCAACACTTGGACAATGTACCTCCGCCTGAACGCCTTTTAGGGCCATGACGCAGTCCCTTTCCAGCCCGCATTCCTAACTTGTGATGGCCCAAAACCTTTTGTGGGTTTTGCCTTTCTGGAATGTCCAAAAAAGAAAAAGACTGAAATCCGATTCTTTGTCATTATCTTTGTTAAATTTTAGTTACTTTTTATATGTGTGTACGTGTGTGGGGGGGCTTGTTACATTAATTACAAAAACCTAATGCACAAAAATGCAAAAAAAACTTCGAAACGCATGCAGCAGCAGCTGGCAGCCGGCAGCCAGCGGCCGGATGACCATCGTTGCCGCTGGCTTTACGCTGGATCTTAATCACCGCCGGCCGTCTCCTCGTTGGCAGCATCCTTGGACTTGGTCTTGGGCTTGTCGTCATCGTCCTCGGAGAATTCGCTGAGATCGCGGCGCATGGCATAGGCATCCTCCCCGTCCGCATAGTACTTGGGCTCCACCTCGATGATCTTAAACTTCAGCGAGTTGGTGTAGAGGTTGAGGGCGGCACGGTTGCTCTTGCGCACATGCAGCGACACGTACTGGGCGTTGAAGCACTCAACCATGGCCTGCGAGGCCTGATTCATGAGCTTCTGGGCGAGGCCCAGGCGGCGATACGAGCGCTTGACGGCCAGCGAGGTGATGTGGCCGTGACGGGTCTCGTCGCTTGGCTCGGGCTCCTCCATTTTGGCCAGGACATAGCCCACAATGCCACCCTTGTCGTCCTCGGCCACGTAGCTCAGCTGGGGCCAGGTGAGGCCGTGGTAGAAGTAATACTTCATCTGATAGTTCTCGGGCAGGCAGAGCAGATTGCAGTGCTGCATGGTCATCAGATCCTCGGGCTTAGCACAGCGAATGTTCATCTTGAAGTTGTTTTGAAGGTGTAACAGGGATACGAACTGTAACTGGATATGGGTGATTCAATCACGGCGGGCCTTGCGTGCTCTTCCTTGCTGATGTTGCTGCTCCCACACTACTTGCTGCTGCTCCTCTGGCTCTTCCTGACCCAGCAGTTCACGCACAAGACGAAATTTCGACAGAAATGCCTTCCAGATCAATAACCAGCCTTCAACGAAAGTAGAACAGGGTATTAGTGACAGTGTAGAGTATTTCCACGATCACCCACGTTTCCACAAAGTGCGTAATCATCATCTCCGGCCTGCTACCTGCTGCTGGTGCTGCTTACCCAACAAAATAATGGAAGCCACAATACTAACAGAAGCTAATACGGTGAGAATGCAGCCTAGGGCCGTTGGCAGCGACATTCTTGCCTGCAGGTGCGCATTAAAACAAAAGGAAAAAAACTACACGCTAAACTGCAATTTCACAATTTGCGTTTCGGGGCTACAAAAAAATGATGTTTATCACAATAGAAATCAGCTGGCACGCAAGTTGCGTCGTTTTGCAGCACTAAGGACCAGGGCTGCACGGACTGGTAGCAATGGATATTATACACAATTTGTGCTAAAATTTAACAAATATCCTTTTAACCAATTTTAATGTGTGCTGTTCTGTTGGCTGGATCGATTGGAATTATCTTACTTTTAGCTTAACTGTTTTTTCAATGCCCTCACATGCCGCCACCTCTTGGTGCCAATGGAAACCACATGGGGTTGGTTAGATTTTCGGCAAGGCCAATTGGCTTTGACTGAGATTCCCGACGGGACACTCAACACTCATTACGACCAGCAGGCTGCAGAAAACGATTCCCCCGTGTTTTAGTTGTAATTTATATCCACCTGACTTATTAATTTATTTATATTCGCCGAGCACACTTTTGCAACGCTGAACTACACCGGCACAAAAAAACTAGTGCTGCAAAGCGTGAAAACATGTGTGTGTGGGGTTGAACAGCTGTTTGCTGAAAATAGGTGTGGCAACACTTTGCCATTTTAATTTGTTTCACCCAAAACAATAAATTTTATTTACATTAGTTGAGCAAAATGCAAGAGTTTTCGACAAAGCGCAATGCACTCTTCGCGTGCCTCGACAACGCCAGCAAAGAGCTCAAGGGGACGGCCCTGGATCAGAGCAAGGCCAAATCGTACTCGGTGAACGCCCTCGAGCGAACAGGAGGCGACGCCGGATCTGGACAGGTCATGCACTATCGCCATGGCCGCAGCATTGATTGTGGCACTGAGCCCGAGGCGGGCCAGCTGAAGCGCATGAGGGGCAAGGAGAGTATATTCAAGAAGCCGGAAATGCCGATTGGACGCTGCCTGAAGCCTCGCAAGACGCCCGACTATCAGGTAAGGAGCGGATTGGCTGTTTGCTTTAGAGACTTAAACAAATGAGTTGAGTGTGCCTTTTGCAGATGAATCCCCACAAGTGGAAAAAGTATTCCCTGGAAGATGTGGACATATCCGATCAAAGCAACTCCAGCGCCGCGTTGTCTTTTCTGCGCCAAATGGATGCGCAACGAGAGACAGGAGCAGAAGACGACGCAGCAATAGAAGCTGGTGGAAAGATTGAATTTAAAAAGAAAAGCAAACTGAATCGCAATCTCAAGAAGCTGCAGGCTGAGGAAGTGGCCGATGTGGAGCTGGACAAGCCGCAGCTAAGGGGCTCCAAGCTGGTGATGCCCGAGTACATAATTGGCCAGAAGCCGCAAAAGCAAAAGAAAACGAAGCCCAAGGACAATCAAAGTCGTGCTGCTGGCAAGCTGCAGCTGTCCCATCTGGAGGAAGAGGATAACGAAGACTTGGCATAGGCCACGCAACGCTTTAGATATAGATTTAAACTTAATTTAATAGTTTTTAGGCATTTTGTAAATATATTTAGTTGCCCCACCCGATTTAACGCATCGTAATTGGGCGTGAAGATATGGTAAACGATCAAATTTATTATGCAAAATGTATAATCAATTGAGTGGGGTGTAAAAATGTATCTAAAGTTGTCATACTTTATGTTAAATCATAACTATCACGAGAAGTCTAATACATACCCCAACATGGGAGGTACATTCGACGCAAAAGGCTGAGTATTTTGGCATCTAGTGTGACAGGGGGGACATAATACATAAGAGAGGAGGAGTACGTACGTACATATAGCACACGATAGAGAGCACAAGACACATAATCTAAAATACATAAATGCGACGAAAACTTACATAGAAATACGTAAAAATGCAAATATTCAGTCAGGGAATGCTTTCATTATATGCAATTGGCAGTGGCTATTCCGTGTAGAAGCCTGGATTGAAGTAAAGTTTCTTGTTGAAGCCGAGATTATCGAAGGAGCCCGTCTGCATGGAGCCCTTGCTGGTTCTCATAGTGCCCACACGCTCGTTGGTCTTCTTTAGAATATCCTCCACGGGAGTGTTGTGTGCATGGTCGGCCATCATGTCGCAGAATTTCTGGATGTACCAGCTGCCCGACTCTGCATCGCGATGGGTCACATAGCCTGGGGTGCTGGCATAGCAGACCAGCATGTCCGAGAGCGATGGGACATTCGTGTAGGTGGAGGGTCTGCCCTCGGTCTCGACAACAGTCTCTGTCAGCCGAGCAGCCGCCGTGCCTATGGAGTCGAAGTGATTCATGGGCTGCCCTAGGTCAGGTTCTCTGCCGCGACAAAAGGGAAATATCAGCACCTTTGGCTTGTGCACCAAATACGGGCTCACACTGGCCTGGAAGTAGCTCTTGATCTTCTGCACATCCACCACCGAGCCATCGCTAAACTCCACTTTATCCATTTCCCCGACACGCTCGCCGTGCGTCATCAGCACCATGACAAAGCACTCGGTCTGCTGTGCATACTTCGAAGAGGTAACCTTGCCGAGAGTTTCGAAGAACTCTTCCTGGTTCATGTTGTTGTAGGCGAATATCGTGAAGCCCATTTCCCTGAACAGATGGATCAGCGAATCGCTGTCCACTTCGGCGCCGTTCCTCTTGCGCTCTGTGTCCGAAAAGTCTATGATGTTGATCTGGAACAGCACGCCCCGATGATGCTGCGACTGCATGTTGTACGTGCCGACCACTTCGTCGCTGTGGATTTTGTCTGACTTCTTGACATCACGCTTTTTTCCAACCACGGGCTCCATGTAGGGTACAAGCGGCCCACCCGCTACATTGTATTCCCTCTGAAAAGCAGATGAATAAAAATATAAAAGGGGGAAAAACGTGCACAGAGTGGAGGAACACACCTTGATGACACATGCACCTTCACTCGCCGACGCAGTTGCCGACGGCGATGGTGTATCCACTATGTCCGCCGACTTGCGTGTAGTCTTCCGCTCGTTGATGGATATGAAGGGGGAGCCGGAGTTCTGTTCGGAGACATCTTCCAGCAGCTTTACGGCCTGCAGACTCCCCACATTGCGCAGGGCAGTAATGAGCTGGTTGTAGGCCGCTGGACCCCGCTTGGTGATCTTGATTAGCAGCCGCCTGTGCTGCTCCAGCAGGCTGTCCTCTTTGCTCATATTAAAACCTGCGCCGCTGAGGTCTTCGACATTTCGCAGCATGCGGGTCGACAACAGGTTTATACGCACGCACTCCTCCCTGGTGCGCCTGTAGTTGGTGCATTTCACCAGCTCGTCGAGGTGCTTGATTATGTGTTCGCGATGCTTTTGGAGCATTCCGATTTCTCGCCTCGAAGGCTGCATCTTGGAAGCGCTTATATGGTGTGAAGGCGATGTGAAGGACGGCGAGTCAAATTGATCGAATTGTTCTGACAGTTTCAATCTCCAATTGGCAGTGATATTGGCAATGAGTCACCTTCGGAATGAGGAGGTCTTTCCGTCTTTCCGTGACTGGACGAAGTTCTTCTTGTTTTCTTTGTCTTCGAGTTCGTGTTCGCAGCAGCAAACTTCACAGCAACTCTCTTGCTGGCGTGGCGTGTTCCTTATTTTTTCAAAAGCAAATTACTTATCATATATTGCACTAAATTGCACCAATTATATTACACAAAATAAAGTCTAAATTTAAATAACATTTCTTTTGAAACAAAAGGAATAAATGCACTTGGCAGTGACTGAGCGCGCGCGTCCGTCCACTTTCGCTTCACTTTTTAAAGTAGTGGCAACACTGACTGAGTGCACAATCCATGATATTATTATATGGATATTATAGGTGGTTCCGTCGGCTGCCTAATCGCTTCGTTTTTGCACCCCTAGCGTAATAATGTATAAAACAAAATAGCTCCACTCTCTTTCTTGCAATGGTCATCGTTAAACCCCATGCCATCAAAGGGTTAATCAGCACATTCTATTGTCGTTTGCCTCACACGTACCACGCAGAAAACTATCACTAGCACTATTGACGACTTTGTTAGTGGTGGCATTTTGCCGACGGGACCACCCTATATAATTGCATCATGCATATGACCGACCAGAGTTGCTGCGGGCTAATCTTCGCAGCGACCAGGCAACCCTGCTGTTGCAGCAACAGCTGATAGTATTTTGATTTCGAAATTTCGCGTCGCAGCAATAACATAATGGAAGAAAATAAACAAAATCCAGAAGTGGATGTATCTGAGAAAAAAAGAAAGCCCAGATTGACCAAGGCCACAAAGCAGCGCGTTCTGAAGTATTTGGAAAAGACTGGATTCTCGCGGGAAACCCTGAAGCGGGCCACGGAAGGTGAAAAAAATGCCGAAGCGATAATTGGTACGACAAACAAAGCTCAAAAATAAGTAAAAAACTAAATCCAAAGCCATTTCAGAGTACATGGTTAATAGTTGTGAAGAAGCAGAGGCGAAGGTGGAGCGCGAATGCGATTCGGTGAGCCTCAACAACATCAACGAGTGGCTGGAGCTGATGAAGTCCACGCAGTTGTCCGAACGCTGTGAGTTCGAGGCAGCCGCCGTTGTCAACTCCATACTGCTCAACGAGCGGCAGCCATTGCCGGCGAAGATGAATGGCATCGACTTGAAGTATGTACTTGCACCTTAAATTCCACATTAGTGACCAACAAAACCCCATTACAGAGCTGCCTATAAATTCCTGAGCAACGCACTGATGGGACAGCCCCAGGAGCAAATGAGTGATGCAACCAAAGCATTCCTGTCCCGAGAAATAGAGGTAAGCCTTTTACAGTCAGAAAAGACAAAAATTAACACTCGTCATCCTGACACGTAGCTCCTGATAGCCGAGGCCAATACAGATGAATCGGACGAGGCGGCTCGAGACATGGGGCAGCGCCTGTATAAAAGCACGGAGTACGACTACCAGGCACAGCCACGCAAGTGCAGCCTGGACCCGCTCTTCCAGGACGAATGGAAAACATAGACGCTGATTGTTAATTTCCACACATTTATTAATCATTTAAATTCAATTGTTTGTTAGTTTTATACACGTACACATACTCTTTGCACCATTCCAACATTAAATCCAACTAACCCACATGATTATACATGTGTATGCGTATACCTAACCATTGTACGAGTACGCATAGATACATATTAGTTAATTACACCCATAATTAAGTACTTTACTATAAACAGTTGAAGCACATTTAAAATCTAGAATTTCTTTAGTACACAATTACTTCAAGTAGGTGTAAGTACGAGTATATGAAAAAGAGCTGGGGTCTTGGCATGGCCTCTGCCGTCTTGCCACACATTTCTTGTGCATGATTGTTTTCAATTTCCATAATTCATTTTGTTGCCAATTTGTAAGTAGACTAGAGTTAGAATAGAGTTTTAGTTTTGGTTTTGCTTATGCTTTGTTTTAAACTTTAAGAGGCATAAAAACATTGGAGTGCTGCTTGACTCTCATAGCATCACAATAGATCACAAGAGACAGAGTTTGGTTTTCCAAATAGCCGAAGAGGATGAGGTTCTCATACATACAATCAGAGTTACATACATAATACACGACAAATACAAATACAAATATAGTAATACCCTTTAATTTGTTACCACAATTAGTGTTTTTTTTTCTCATTAAACTTATGTCTGTACGTATGTATGTGTGGTATGTATGTATGTTCACACAATCAAATGCAATTCAATATTCAATAATGTACACATAATAATACATAAACTCTTAAATGTGTTCAGTTCAGTCCAGTTTGAGCTTTTGGTTTTCCCCTTTATTTTTTGGTTTTGTTTAGTTTAAATTAATTTAAGTTAAGTTAATCTAATTTATGTATACATGTATGATTAAGTCCTAGAGTCAACCATCCATAAACCATATCGATATGCCTTGTCTAAGATCCGTGGATCGAATGTGTAAATCAATGAACCAAAACTCAGACTCAACAAAAAGGAACAGAGAATTCAAACTAAAGGTGCATCCCCAATAAAAGGTGGCAGATCGGGCAAACATAACGACAAACAACAACACAACAGAATGATTTTATTTGATAAATAAAGAGCGCATATGTAGATGTCGTGTCGGTAGAATTTTTGATTGTCCCGTTACCGTTCGTGTCATTCAGAGCATGGTATAGAGTTTTTACGATATAAAGTAAGTTCTAGCGTGTTCTGAGAGTTCGTCATTGTTAGCTTCTTCTGCAGGTTTGTATACATACATATATAAATTCATATTTGGTTTTCCCCATCTCGGTTCCGCTAAAGCTACCACAACAATGATAATTGTAGTGCATGTATTCATTTGTATGTATGATTACTATAAAGATTCAAGAGTTTACCATTTACCATTTACCATAAATATGTGCGCTATATAGTTGCTGATTCATCAATGTCCTGGCCCAACGATACAAATTGACTATAGATTTTGGGATTCGCACAAAAACTTTGTTTATGTTCAGGTATCATGGCTGCGGCGGAGTGGACCTTTCGTTTTTGTTTTGTATTCCTTTCATTTATTTTTTGGATAACGTGTAGTATTCACCTTAGTAGTAGTTTTGGGTGTAAAGTATTTTGTATTGTATTAAATGGATTTCATGATTTGATGTACAGAGATTCATTATTTGAAAGCGTATTGAGAGGGTCATGACTCTGGGTTATAAATAAACTCTTCCTTTTCTCCTTTTCCGTTTTAACATGATTATTTATGTACGAGTATATTCATTTTGATTGCTTCTGCTGTAAAGCTCTGGGATACTTTTTTGATTTAGCTTGTGCCGATTGTTTTTAGGTACCAACTCTTAGGTACACGATTTTTTTTTAAATATTTTCTATACGAATATGAGAGGGATATTTGTTGTATTTATTATTATCTGTGAGGTTTTATATGTATACGCGATATGACCTGATGTCGGCCCTCCAAAAGAGCAAGTCTAAATATACAAGAATTAAAGAAATGTGAAGAAAATTCTTGGCAATTCTTATGAATAATATTGCATTTTCTGAGATTTTGTTTGGAAAGCAGCGCATCTCATCGGTGGTCCGAAGTTCCATGTGGTTGATGCTGAGGCTGAGGCTGAGGCGGACGCTGAGATGTTTATGCTAAATGTTTACTTATTTGGCTTGGTTATATTCATGTTCTCTAAATAATTCGAAAAATATTCATATGTTTCAGGTATGTTGTATGACACATTAAGAGAAGTGGCTAAGGCTAAGCTAAGTATTTTCGCATGTCATATACATATATATATATATATGTAATATATAAGTATGATAAATATATGTCTATGTATATCCATGTATTGTTCGAGTTTCTAGGAATTGATTGCATTTTGCATTGTGTGTGTGGGAATCGCTATGGAATTAATGTACTCATGAGTGTGTGATATGATTTGTGGTTGTGTGGTGTGTTGATTGTGTTTGACACTTTTCATCATTTGGATAAATTAGTTTTAAATTGGTATTCTTTGGAGATATATTCTTGGTACGAGTATTTGCGATTATAAGTTAACGAGAGCATTGTTGCACTCTCTTTGGTCACATCAAATTGGCGTTTTGGCTAGTAATAACATTTAGAGTTTCGAGTGAAATACATATATTTTGAGCTTGCCTGGCTCTTGGTATACGTTTACAATGTATTGCATATAGGTTTCGAGCTAATATAAGTTGATTACTGGACCGAAATTGCATTGAAAAGTTAGTTTCTTTTGAATGGTTTATTTATCTGTTTCTGTTTTCGTTTTTCGTTTCTTTAGTTACGTCCGGAGAATAGTTGATACTGTAATAGAGTTGTTGCAAGATAATTAGGCCATCAATCTGATTGTTTAACACGATTTTCAAAAATACATATTACGGTGCTATTTTTGGTATTTGTTGTTAGTTGGGATTTATTACTTATCTACGGATACGGATACGAAAACGGGGGGCAAATACGAATACGAGTACGATTACGATGGGTTTCTATTTGCTGCTGATCTCACGCACACACACACCGATCAGTTATGGATACGGATATGGATGTTACGATATTACGGGTATTACAAAATACAGGAAAATACACCAAAATAATTGGAGACAGGGAGAGATCAACTGGGGGGTTGGATGGGGAGTATTATTACACATATAATAGTTATTATTATTATTATTACAAATATATATTTGGAAAAAACATTTAGACAGATATCGACATCAGTTTTTTGAGGATTTAGGGTTGGGTCATGCACTCTCGATCGGATCGGGGATCCTATGCTGGATAGGTGGAACTATCCAGTACGAGTACAATGCAAACTACGGACATCTATCTATGGCACGGGGCAGATAACACTCTTGTTTGTACGTGTGTGTGGATATCTCACTGGATGGATGGGATGGGTCTGGTGTGGCGTGGCGTGGCGTGGTCTGGTGTGTGTGTCTACAAAACTACTACTAAGGTACAGTAGTGGATGAGTGTGGGCTTGGGTGTGGACTGCAGTGAGCTGTGGAGGCAGGGGAGCTACTGGGGGACACCTTTCCTCCAGGCGACTTACATTTAACCACAATAATGTATGTGATCGTTTAGTAGTTACTCTGTATTGGTTGGTGGTTTTACCTTCTCAGATTTGTCGCACTCAGAATGCGAGAACTTTTGAACTCTTAAGGCACATTTCGAAGTAATTATAATCATAAGTTCAACTTACAGTAGGAATGAGAAACAGCGAAAGCAAAGTAAAAAGAAAAAACAAAGCAAAAATCAAATCGGAAATGCTAGATACATACAGCGGGTTGGTGGGGGGTACGTATACAGGGGAGAAACAATATTGATTGTGCAACAAAGGCGAAGCATTACAATATACAATACATTTAACAGTTACAATAAATTCGCAATGACTTAAGAGTAATAGTAGTAAGTAGTAGTAGTTAGTAGTAGTAGAAATACAAATACAAATGCATATCAACATCTGGTAAATCGGTTGATAGATTTTAGTATAGATTTATAGATCAGATTCATTAAGGTTCGTATCTTTATAGTTGTTAGCAGCCCTCTAAAGCCTTCAGTGTCAGTCAATCAATCAAGTATACACATTGGTACACATTTATTTTGTGTATTTATCATACAATATCTCTTCTCTCTCTATCTTCAGCTGCTGCTTATAGCTTGGTTCTTGGTTGTAGCTGCGATACTTTCGTTAGTTTTTATCTCGTTTTGTTGTTGTATTTCCAAAATATTCATTGTGCAGTTCAGATGGGCAGAAAGTAAAATGGCACGTCAAGTCAATTACACATACAATACAGATACATAGGAACAGAACACCACAATTATGCAATAATAGCCATAACACCGAGTGACGATCATCACAACGGTACAAGGAAGAACAACCACAAATTTAAAGCACAGATATTCCAATTATGTATCAGATTTGCATGCATTTTGAACTGTTTTTTGTATTATTTGTACTCTCTTGATTATGTTTTACTTCAGCTTTAATTTTGGGACAGTTTCACCACTCTACCATTTGCATAAAGGTCATACCCATAGCAAAAGTTCAAGGTTTCTCTTAAAGATTCAGCCCTATTTAGTTGAACTATTATTTAAGGTACATCTGTAGCTTTGTGGCTGTTGATTTAAGTCATGTTTTGAATATAGTTTTGGTGCTATTTTGAGTCTTTGCGTATGGTTGGGGTTTTTCAGAACTTCTCAAATGGAGAACTTTTCTATTTGTCTAGTTATTAGTGGTGTGATCAAATAAAAGGCAAGCAAACAACACATGCAAAATTCAAAACGAAGCAAATATTTAAATTTCAAAATAAAATATTGAACTATCAACCCAAATATCAATGTATCTTAATGGAAATCAGTTCTTATAACTTATTGGTTGGTCCTTAAAGTTGTACGACTATCATATGGTATAACTTTAGACTTATGAGAATGCGTGAGCAAGTGCGTGGGTGAGCGGGGAGTGGGTTGTGTATACTAATCCAACATTAATCTGATAAATTCATAGTTAATTGGGTGGACTTATGACCTACATAACCAACGACATTGACAATGGAATTTGTGTGTTTAAATACTTTTACCAGAACATATCATAATCTTCTATTCAAATAAAATGAACAGCACGTTCCGCACATACGAACTAACATACACTACGCACGACTGTACATGAATAAATACTGGATATTGGCATGTGTGTTGGTGTGGACTTGGAGCTCTCTCAATTTTGTTTTCTTTTTTTTTTTTTGCGAACTAAAGTAGATCTCAAATGTAGATCTAATTTGTTTTGGAAGATGGTTTTTAGTGTTCTTGTTGTCTTTGTTAAAAGAGAGAGAGAGAGAGAGCGAGAGAGAGAGAGAGGAACAGGTACGATAGGTAGGTACGATCAAAGAGTATTACGCAATAATCATAATCAACAATCAATAGAAATAACAATAATGATAATGATAATATTAATTATCCAATTGGGCTATGTGGTACGTTACGTATAGATAATATAACTTTGTTACGACTCTGGATATGTTTCCAACATTAACATTTATGGTACATACAAATAGGACTTGAATAAATTCTTCAAAAAACAACAGTTGTACTCGTTCTATGTATATATATGTATGTATGTAAATATAATTAAATATAATTGATATTTGGTATTTTGTATTCTGGTTTTTTGTTTTTTGTTTGTTTACTTTTAGCATCAACTGTATGTAATCATTACGTATAGTACGAGTATGTCTAGGCCAGAGTAGGTCTCATGGTAGTTTTGGTATGTATGAGAGGTACATTCATTAATATTAAAGGTAATGTAAATTGATTGTTTGCTTCATTTTACCCTCTGCCCCCACTTGCATATACAACATTTGATTCATTCGATTTAGCTTTGCTTTTTGATCTATAACATTCTTTCCATATTCATTCAGTTTTCGTTTCAGTTTCGAATTTCGAGTTTAGAGATCTACAACTTTGGCGGCGGTTTAAGATTAAAATTCATATTCTGCAGCTGGGCTTTGTAGCGCACATTGTTGAGATTCTGAGTGTAATTGTAGCCGTAATGGTAGCTGCTGCTGTTGGTGGTGCTTGGATTGACGTACCCGAATCTGAGCGAATCGGCTTGGGCCTGGGCCCCGCCGATTTCGTTCAGATTATATTATTGACTGAATGTGATATTGAGTGACGGACACTTTCGGACGTTGGTGTGGCTGTGGCTGATGCTGTTGCGTGCGCCATTCACCCGCAACAGCGGCACCGGACTAACCGTGCCGGATACGGAAGTTAATTGTCTTACCATGCCGGATCCCAGCTGCTGCAGTATGCCCGATCCAGAGCCGAGTGGTCCCGATGACAGCACCGTCGACTGGCGGCGCGACCTTATCGACTGCATGCTCGACGACAACAAGAACGGAACACTGCTCGAGGTGTTCGGCATGGAGCCACCCTGTTTTTGGGAGTACAATAAAGGAGATTTCTTTGGAAGATTAGTCAGGGCTTGCCATATGTCATATTTGTTTATCTGGATTGGATTTGGATTAGATTGGTGGATGCGATTTCGGTCATACTTTTAGAATAATTCGATTATTATTTTAATAATTGTTTGTGCTATGTACAAGGTATTCGTGGTGTTAGTGTCAGTGTGTCAGAGTGTCAGATTTTAACGAACCCAAGGCATAACTCATGAGTGGCTCTCACAGTAGAGAAGTAGAAGTATACATTTAGCTGATTGTGCAACAAACAAACAATCAAACAATCGAACAAACAAACAAACAACAAAACGAAACGAAAAGCAAACATTTCTTGAAACTCAATTAATCGACAGACAGATATGGGAAAGAAACATTGATACAAACGAATATGAATGAAGAATAGAAGCGGTACGTGAATACACATAGGGTTATGTATTTGAATGGATATAGTATGTACATCTGCGAATGAATATATGTACGTACATACATACATTTATTTATGTGTATGCTTATTCCAAATTATTCAAGTACTCAAATCAGATTTGGTCTCGCCGACGAAAGAAGGATGAGATGCGATGGTGGTTTGTGGGGTTGGGGGTTTGGATAAGGGGCCGGAATCAAATGAAATCAAATTACATTAACATAAAATGTAATATCAGCATACTTGTGTTTGAGTGTATGTGTATGTGTGCATGTCTGTGCGTGTCTAGACCTTAAATAGTCGAAAGACAGAATAAGAGAGTGAATGTGGGAGTGGGGGGTGGAAAATTCAAAGAAAATTAAATTGAAAATCCGAAATTATGAAACGTGTACTCACGATCATGCTCCGTGCAAGCTGCGAATTTTGTTTTATTTTATTTTGATACGTATAATCGATTTTATTTGATTATTTTTTGTTTGTTTTTGTTTTTTGTTCGTGTTCGTACATGAAATGAAGAACGGAAAGTACATTCATGAAAAAAACACAGCCCTTTAACGCATATGTACATACATATGTATTGTATCTGTGTATGTGTATGGAGGTATGGGTGTTTGGCTGGTTAAAGGAAAAACCCGGAGGTTAAACATGATTCCACTGCGCTACTGTTCAAAAATTCAGTAACAGCAACGAAAATGCATACAAAAATTTGGCTTTTAATTTCTTTTCGGTTTTTTAAGACATAAGAATACAGAAATATGTACACATATTCACATATAATACGTGTCGTGTCCATGTGTGTGTGAATTTTGTTTTCCTGGATATGAACGCAACATGAACAGAGTGAAATGGAAAGGAAATCAAATCAACATTGAGCACGATCTGGACATTTAATGAATAAGTAGGTAGAGGTATACGAGTATTTAGAACAGTATAGAATAGTATATAGTATAATCATCCACTGCGGTGTTTTTTGTTGTATTAGCCACAGATGGAAACTCCTTCATTAAGTTTTCATGGGCGTCGTCTTCGTTTAATGGCTCTTCGATGTTAGAGACCAGCAGTAAATTGGCATTCCGTTTCATCAATCATTAATGAAACACTTTATATGATTCAATATTCAATATTCAATTTAACTCTGATAGCTATGAACTAAATGCTTCTTTCAAGGTACAAAGCATCAACAATTTTCAACGCAAAATTTCTTACGAAGCCCCAAAAATGACGGCGCTGTTGATGAGTGTTCAGTTCTCCAATTTGATAAGACTCTGCACTTTATAACATTTACATCTTTGAACATCATTAATATTCGTTTGGGCCTCTCTTTAAAGTTTAAACACTTGGAACACAAAATTTAATACGTAAGTAGGAAAATAATGTAACATGAACACCAAAAACAAAACAAAAATAACAACAAAATGGTATAGAATCGACTTTAATATGTACACAGTACGGGTTATTAGCATAAGCTTCCGTTTGGTCTGGCCAGAGAGATAGACAAAGATGTACAGAGTGAGATGCAGACACAGCACTTCGCTGTGCAGTAACAACACAAAAAACACAACGAAAAATCAACAAAAAAACGATAAAGAACAAGTTATCGACAGGAAGGAGACATTAACAGGAACAGAAACAGTAACACATATGTATGTGGGTAGCAACAGCGGAGCAAAATGCATAAAAGGGCAAACCAAAATCAAAACGGATAGAAAATTAAGTAAAAACATAAACCACATGAAATATGGAAACAAAATCCATTCATTTAACAGCACAAGAACGAGTACGGATACGGATACGGATACGGATACGAGAACGAGAACAGCAACGAGAGAGTTTCAGACGGCAAGTCAAATTCAAATTCAAATTCATATTCAAAACTCAGTTTTCAGTCTCAAAAACACACACATCAAAAGATACGCAGCGAGTGACGCGTGCGAGAGAGAGAGAGAGAGAAGCGAGACGAGACGAGTAGGTGAGAGCAGGCGAGCAAACAAGTAGAACATTTGTTGGAAACGTTTTGAAACGGAAACGGATGAGCATCATCCAAAGTGCACGCAACTACCTTTGGCATTTAGCTTTTGGTCATGGATGTATGAATGGACATGGACAGAAACAAGAACGAGAACGAGAACCGTGGCAAGCTTGAACGAGCGTGTCTGTTTTTTGTTATATTGCTTTGAGTGTGTCTGCCTGTGTGTTTGTAGAGAGAAAACAGCGAGACAGAGTTGAGTTTTGTGGAGTGCGTTTTGGAGACGACAACGATCAAAACAGTAACAACGAGACAGACAACAACGAGACAAGACAAAGTCCATTTCGATGCTGGCTTCATGATGCCCACAACTCGCACAAGAACATCACACGATCCGAATACAAATAGGTCAAACCATGTCTGAATATTTGCTGATACCCTTGCACAGGCTATAGCTATTGATTTACTAAAATTACTATTTGATGCAGGATGGAGCAGATGCCCGTTCTGAAGACATTGCAATGGAATATTCTTGATTCCAAATGATTTGATCTCAACAAATTAAAATCCCAGCAAGGGTATAGCATCTTCGACCCGGTCGAAGCATTTGGGTGTTCGACATGGTAGAGGACAGACAGATTTTCTTTGTTTTTTAGACTTACAACATATACCGAAGTCGAGGGCACCGATAGGCTCGATCCAGAGCTACCGCGGGCACCACCGTACTAAATGGTTTAGAGAGTGGAGACATCGAATGACCCCGATGAAGAGGACAACGTTATTTTGTTCATTTTGTGTGTCACATGTGTGATGGTGTGTGGGTTTTTGTGTGTGGGGAGAGTGGAGATAAGAGATAAGAGAGCGTGTGTTAGAGCTTTTGTTGCATGTTTCCCCTTATATCGTTGTGGGTTTTTGGAGACGGGAAGTTTTAGGGGGTAATGAGCTAATCATTGATATGAGCTACATTTATAAAAAATCAAATGGGAGGGAGAAATAAAATGAAACGGAAAAGCAAACTGAAAGTGAAACTGATGGTTTTGTGGCAAATGTTCGCTTCAAGCAGCTTGTGGTGGCAACTGTTAACTGTTAAACGGTAACTGTAAACTGTGGTCTGAAAATTAAACACGCTAAAACGCTACGCTAGGCGCTATAGCTATATGGCTATCGCTATTGTTGGATATGGTTAACTGGTTATATGATGACACATGGGCTGCTGGAAAAGCCAAAAACGAAACGAGGAGCGGACTCAAATGAAATTCCAATAAAACGATGAGTGACTTTTTTGTGTGGCCTCTTGTGGCCGCCGTAAGCCAATTGAAAGGGAAGAGCCCCCGAAATGAAACAACGAAAGTGAAAACCACAACAAACAATGGCGGCCGCCAAATGCACGACAAACAAGAATGGAAAAAAAAGGAATAACGAAAAGCAACAAATGAAAAACCAAATTCGAAAACGAAAACACAAAACTGGAACTGGATCTGAAGGCTCGCCCAGTGGCGTGGCCGACACAAACAACTTACAGTTGGCGGTGACAAATTGATGGCGGAGCCCCGTCGCTCCTGTGGCCCAATGCTCGAGTGGCGGCGCGTCGGCAGGCCGCTGCCCGGCGTGCCGCCCGGTGATGAGGCGCACGAGGGCGCAATGCGGATCTTGGGTGTCATCAGCGTGTTGTCCGAGAGCCGTCGATTGGGGAACACGTTCCCAACGCGAAGGAAATTGCTATCCGGCGACGATGGCGAGCAGCCGAACCACCAGCCACCCAGCATGCCAGACCCTGTGGCAGAAAACAAAAACAAATATACATATATACCGCAAGTACAATGTAGGAGGGTGAGCATGGGACATCAGATACAATTACGTGTACGCTGACAGGGCCAGCAGCAGCAGCACTCGGTGCTTTGTGAACAGCTAATTAAGTCTAATAATGCTCGCGGTCTCGAGGCCTACAAAACAGAGGCACGTAGCCCGTAGCCCACAGCCACACGCACTCACTACCAAAAACCACCGAAACCCCAAAACGGCACCCCATTTCAGACCTCCACCAGCTCCACCCACCATCACACACAGCAATCCTTCCCTGGCTCTGGCTGGCTCTGTCACTGTCAAGGACATTCGCACATTTTGCGGTTGCGGCCGCTGCACATGACTCTTGTTTTCTTGGCTCCCTAACCAGGCTCTGACACCTGGCATGCCCACCCTGCCCCCCTTTCACAGTCCTCTTCTGGCTTTTGTTATGCCGAATGGCGAAAGTTATTAACTTTAATGTCAAGTTTATCCATTCACTTTGTAGTTTATTTGGGGTTGCTTGGAGATGAGCATGAGTTGAGTTTTTAATAGTTGAGTTGAGCTCTTAATATTTATCTAAAATGTATCTAATTTTTCAGGCTGTAATGGTAGCTTCTAGGAGTTCCCTTCCTATCTCTGTTGATGATGGATTCATCACACTCTTGAATACCCTTAGTTCTATATGAGTATCTACCGAGTAGCCTCGTTTATCAGCTATTCTAAAAACAAAGCAAACCATTTGCAAATGTTACCCTTCTGTGCTTTCTTTTGCGAACCGCAAGTGGGCCCCAGCCTTGTTTGTTTTTGCGTCCCACAGAGCAGCAGACTCTCAACTCTTTTCAATATGCAGCTGGCTGACATGAGGCAGGGTCGGTCAGCTTACAATTGTGGCAAATTGTTAGTTTGCCAAGAAACTGCAGCAAGCTGGGTGTAGAGTACAGAGTACAGACTGCATGGCGTATGGTGACCAGGTCCAAGTCGTGTCATGTCTACACGCAATTGGGGCCATCATAATAAATCATCGTTAAGAACAAAGGTGCATTAGGCACCGGCTGTACTGCGGCTATGCCGGATAATGACTGCCTGCGGGCAACGCTTTTGGTTTTCATTTTCGGTTATTATAAAATTAATAATTTTCCTAATAACACAATTAAAAGCCTCGCGCAATGGCCACAAAATTAACAGAGAGTGCGAACGATTGCTGATTAGAGCTTCCGTCACGTTCGATGGATATCAAATTGAAATCACGCCTAAAATTTGCAATTATAAATGACCGGAGGCCTCATAATTATGAATATACATAATAGGGCTAGGGCTACTCTCCCACTACTTACCGCCAGAGTTCTTGCGGGCCATGTCCTCGGCGCTGGAGGTCTTGCGCTGATCTATGCGCAGGTTTGGTATGTTGAAGGGCGGCGCATTCATGTTGTCCGTCGAGAATTGATGGCGCAGTGTCCGGTGTCGCTCCGGCGAGGCCATCGACAGGTTGTCCAGCTTCAATTTGTTCCGCTGCTGTCGATCGATGGCCTCCAGCATCTGTTGCAGCACCTGGCCAAAAAGACAGTGGAGGAGCAGGAGTTGTAGCCTGAGTGGCTTCAGGGGAGGACTGGGACTTACTTCAAGCAGATAGCAATAGTGTTCGAAATTGAGTGCCGGATTCACGGTGTGTGGTATGAGCAGCGGCAGCACATTGGTGGCCATGGTCTCCACGCTCAGGCCGTATGATTTGTCCACAAACAGCTTATGATAGATACCTGTGGAAATCGAAGAGCAACAGAGAGACGAGACGGACTCTGGTGATAAGCTCTTTGGCTCTCCACAGTGCGTTTCAGGATTTTGCGGATTATTGCATGCGGATATCCACACAATGCGGAAACGCACTGTTCGTTCACACAGATACAATCGAATAGTAATGTGTGTGCGTGCTGTATCTGGCTAGCAAATTGAGTTTTATGCAAGTTAATTAGTTTTTGGTTATCGGCAAATGGCTAACAACGATGCGAACTTTTGTGTGTTTGTCTGTGAATGAAACGAGGCGGCATTGTCTGGTTCAACTTACGCACAGTACGCATGATAATATCGGGATCGGGTATGCGAATATTGGCCAGCAGCGGCAGCACCTCCTCCATGACCTGCACACAAGATTTATTAGTTTGGGCGGTGGGAGGGAGCTCAGTAGATTACTCACCTGTGCGCGCTCCATGCGGTCCATTACACGCTCAATGCACATGAGCACATTTTGCACTATCTTCGGATCGGTGATGTTCTTCTCGAATACCAATTTGACCTTGGGCAGGACCATGCGGCGTATGGATAGCTCATCGATGCTGTCAAACACATTGGCCACAGCCACAACGGCGGCACTCTAAAGCAGCCACACAAAAGCAAACCAAATGGAAATTCATGAACTTGGCACTTTCTATGGCCTGTGAGTCGCAGTTAATTAAGAAATTGCTGCTCGTAATTACACAATCAGCTCTGTCAACCCATTTCCAGTCTCACAACTCATTTGCATAGCCAAGAAAGCCGAGCACTCACCTGCACTTGTATCGTGGATCCATCAAAGGAACAGAATAGCATCGGCATTATATCTGTGGTGACATCCTCCGGCTTTGTCTTCTCAATAATCAAATGCAAATTCTCGAGTATCGTAACGCTTGCCTGAATGGATTTCGGTGTATTGTAGACGATTCTGAATGGCAGAGGGACAGAGATTAGAAGCGATATGCCACTGATTTGATTAGATAAAAGTTTTGCCCGTGACTTATGGCCGGATTGCAGATAGAAAGGAATTACTAAAAATAAACGCATTAGTCCGTGTCCGTGTTCGTGTTCGCATCCGTGTCCGTGTCCTGTGGGTGTGTCGTGTGGAAAACTTTTTCGGCAGGGTGTCAATAAGCGCCTTACAAGTGGCCGAAAAACTTTTGTCGCCCCAACGCCAGCAACTTTACAGCAAAGTGCGAGCATAGTGCGAGCGCGAACCGGAGCTCACTGGAGTCGGAGCTCCACGGGATCTCCGGGCTTTGTGTGTTTCACTAATTTATGCACGGCTGCCACAAAAGGTGAGAGCACCACACCCACACCACGGCATAGTAGTTGAGCTGGGAAAGTTTGCAGCTTACACTTGAGCTCTATAAATTACAATATGAACTGTCGTGTTGCCCGCCCCAGTGGCCCAGTGCCAGCCCCAGACCCAGACCCAGTCCCAGACCCACTGCTAAGCGCAATAAAATGTCTTGAAAATTAAATAACAGAAAAAGTGTCCGAAAAGTTTTACAATTGTTTAAGCAAACAGTTGGTGGAGATCCACTGGATCCTGGAATACGCAAACGGAAAGTGGAAAAAGGAGAGAGGGAGAACACCCCGGAAGCTGCCCCAAACAATGAGAGGATTCAGGAACTACTTACCGCCGGACTTTGTTCAGTTATTTAAATATGAATAGGGGATTATGAATATAGATATAGATATAGATAGGCGTCGGGTCGGGTAATCTTGTTTAAAAGAATGAATCTTAATTTCTGAGTGTGGATTATATTTTAGAGTGCTTTTTGCTAGTGATTTCTGACAAAGGCGAGTTTAATTTGGTTGAAGAATGAATTCATGCAGTCCATTTAATTCCATATTAAAAACAAGTTAAGCTTTTATATCTAAGTCCTTTTTCATAGTTGAATCTTCTCCGTTACCATCATTTAGTCATCGATTAATATCATTTTCATATTCGAATTCTATTCTGTGACCTTCAGCTCAAGTTCTTTTTGCCCCTTTTGGTGCCCGCCTGCAGCTCAATTTGCTTTCCTTTTCAACAGTTCCAAAGCTATTCATGAGTCGCTGGCTATACAAAAGTATTACTTACTTCATTGTGGCTGACATTAAAGCATCGTACTCGAAGTGAGTGGCTTCCTGGACAAAGAGCATGACGGGCTGCAGGACCGCGGCCAGTACCTCGTTATTGTTGATCTCCGACTTGAGCATTGGCCAAATGGTCTGCCACCAAAGTTTCTGCAGAAAGAAAACAAGAGGGAGAAAGGGAGAGACGGAGAGAAAGAAGGTTGTATAAAAGTGGATGAACAGACACAGTCATTAACTAGTCTATGGCATTTCAATTGCCGATGGTAAGCTGTCATTAACGGTGTCGGACAATGGCCAAAGCCTTTCCACCTTCCGCTCCAGGTCCATTGTTGTCCGAGTTCCTGTATCGTGCCTGTCGCTGACGGCTCGACGGTGGCACCCTGCGATGTCCCCTGCCCTATGCTGGGAGCCAGAAAACAAAGGGACACTCGTTTGCAGCAACATTTTTGCAACTGTCATAAAACGGCTCGTAATTCACAAATTGTTTCGCCGTAAAGCGCACAACTTGGCGCCGGTAAATGATTAATGCGCGGCGCCGTCTGTTCACTCTCCTTCCCAAAAACCAAAAAACCAAAAAGAAGTAAAAGAAAGTAAACCCATAAATGGTTGCATCCGTTGCCGGCGAGAGACCAGAGACGGAGACAGGAGACTTACACGTGGTATCACCGGCATGGCCTCTATCAAGGTGGTCTTGTAGAACTGGGACTTCTGCTGCGTGTCCTTCATGTTGACCACGTCCAGGAATTTGAGAGCATTTATAGCCGGATCACTGTGGAAGATCCAAAAGAACATTAAGCCACAAGCATCGCATCAAATTAAATAAAATTTCGCCAGCTGCCTCGTCAGTTTATTTAAGTATTGTACGAGTGACAGCAGAGACTCGTACGCGTATTTGTTGAATACTAAAACCCACTCGTATTTCCAACGAATATTATGTAATCGCTTTAAGTGCTTAATTACAGTTTTCGCGACGAATAGCTGGACTTGGATTAGTGATTAAATGGCAGGCAATGTAATATTAAGCTCGAAAATTCAATTCAATTCATCAACAAGAGAGAAAAACAAAAAACCCAAACCCAAAAATTAACTAAACAAAATATTTATGGACGAGTGGACGGCAATTATAATATTAACAACTTTCTGTATACTCGGAATTTTAAATACTCGTATATTTCATTGTTATGTAAATGCAAATTGCTGAAATTTAATTGCCAAAAAGTGTTTACTTTCGACCACATTCCGGGCATTCCGCCGCACCCCTTTTTCGGTCGTGGCTAAGTCTGTTATCTGCGGCAGAGCAGGCCAAGAGCACTCCTTGACGGGGGAAATTGCTCAGAAAATGAGACATTCATTTCTACTATTCACCGCTAAGCAGCCAGTTGCAATGTCAAAATCCCCACAGTGCGCTTTGTTAAAGAATAAAACTAAATCGAATTACGTAAGCAACAGATGCTGTCCAGCTGATTTTCCCACCCCTCCTTTGGTCGACTTAATCAGCGCAACCAACCAGGCAAAATCATATTTCAAGTATGTATATCCTTGCTATACCTTAGAGTCGGGGGCTGTGGCAGCACAAGCGAGGAAAGTTAGCTTGCCACTGATTGCCAAGACACTCGAGCTATTTGCATACGCTGCTAAAAACGCGGAAAATGTTGACAACATTTAAATTAACTTCAAAGTGCTGCCAGCAACCTGGCTGACAGACTGACTGCTTGCCTGGCCAACAAGGGAGGAGGCAGAAAGACGAAAGAGCGAAGAAAGGGAGGCTGGCATGGAGGCGATGACGATGAAGCTGGAGGGAAAGTGAATGGGAGTAGCACGCTGTTGCTGTCTCTGTAGCTGATTCTGTCAGAGCCGCACAAAGATGGGCATATCGAAGGGTATACCAAGCTGAAGGTTAACTCAATAATTCTCTAAATCATAGATACAAAACATAGTTCTTGTTTGCGAATTCTGTAGCTCTCTCCAGCATACGGTATCCATTGGCTGGGTTGCCCGCCTCATGGAATCGTCATCTGTGCTGGCATTGCTACTTCAGCTTCAGCAACCAGCATCATCTTTGGCTTTGTTTGTCTAAACGCGGCACGCCTGCACGCCCGGGCACCCCCCTACCGCAGATCTCTCCGGGAGACTGGCTGCTGGAACAGCTGCTGTCGTCATAAATCCCAGAATCAGGCAGGAAGGCAGGTCCTCGGAGATGCCTCCAACTGCCACTCGAACTCAACTACTACAGCACAATCAGCTGAAAAGCTTCCACTCCAGCTTCAACCTTCATTCCCGTTCCCTTTTGCAGGGGCTACCATTCATCTCTTACCCGTCGTGTAGGATCTGTACCATTCACTTTGCATTGTGTATGTCTTTCAGGTCTGATTACCGTTTTCATTTGGAAAACAGACGTAATTAAAGTGTGCGTGTGTTGGTGCAAAAGGTGCAAAAAAATAAGAAGTGAAACCTTCAATTGAATTTTACCTACAAATTGGCTCAGATATTGCGTGTAGCAGCACCACTACCACTGCCACAACCACCACCACTCTCCCCTTTAGGTGTTTGTGTGTGTGCTTTCAGCAGGTGTCAATTACATTTGAGAAACTCAAACAAAAAACTTTGCGTTCAAAAGCTGCACAAATTGCTATTACTCCGGCGACTGTTACGTTTTAGCTGAAAGTTAATTAATTTATCCACACTCACATGAAGTACTTGATCAACTGCAGAAGCTGAGCGGTGGGCCGTGCCGTTGCATCCCGACTGGCCATGCGCGAAGTGGCCTCCTGCAGGGCAATGGGCAGACGAGGCATCAACTTGTGGACCATATCATCCAACTGAGAGAGAGAGAGAGAGAGAGAGAGAAGGGGGAGAAAGTATAAGCATAACCGAAATAAACTTGGCCACAACATTAGAAACCACTTGAGGACAAGTCCAATGTCCCCAGACAGGAGGAAAAGTTTTAATGACAAACGCCTGAGGGGGGCAATGGGCGTCGGCTACAGCTACAGCTTCAGCTTCTGTTGCTCCGCTCCACTCCGCTCTGTCACCTGTCCGCACAAGTGGCAAAATAATTAGAGTTTCAAGTGGACTTTTTGATTACATTTGCATTTGACAAAGCTGCGAATCTAATTACAGCGGGCAAACAAGCCAAACTCAAGGGGGGGGGGGGGAGAGACGCAGTCAAGCGTAGCAATTCTGGAAACTTTTCATCCAACCAATTGGCACTTGTCCTTCAATCTGCCTTCATCCCCACTGCTATTTACGCACCGTTTCCATTTGCTTGGCATAGTTAGAGGTGGAGTTGCCGGCCTGTATCAGGGGCCTGCCATTGTTGAAGACAGCACAGATCACCATACCCAATGAGAACATATCGCTGAGCAGACTGCACTTGGACGTTGACTGTGTTTCGGGTGCTAAAATCAAATCACAACATAATCAAGATCATCCGAAAGAAACAACAAATGAATGTTACCCATAAAGTCCAGATTCGGCTGGGCCATCTTTGACACCCTGTTGCTCCACGGCGGACACGGAATTGAGCTATTCAAATCAGTCTCATTCATTCTTTCTGCAATGCGAATATGAATACAAATTGCCGTTTGCCCCTTCTCCACACAGTACAATTCATTTCAATTTGTCAACTACCTCGGGGTAGTTCGAGGAGTATTACTCACCCACATATTCCATGCCGGCCAGCTTCCATATACCGCGTTTGGTTATTAGTACAGAGGATGGACACACATTTCGATGAATTACGTGACCGGAATAGTGAAGATATGCCAGGGCCTCCGTCAGCTGTAGGACGACACATACAGCATACAATATGCATACAGCAAAAGCCACTCTGCCACTCTGCCACACTGCCACATGCCCCACTCACCTGTAGAAAGCCGTACTTGAGTTCCATGTCCAAGAAGCTGTATTCCTTTGCATGAGCGGGCCGCTGCGGTTGGACGCCCGCCGTGCCCTGTGTCTGGGCCGGGCTCGCTCCGGCAGCCGCTCCAGCTCCAGCACCAGCAGCGGGCACATTCGCATTGTCATAGGTCTTCGACTCCTGCACGAACAGACATGCAGACAGGCAATAAAGAGTTAGTGCCTAATCCCGGTCTGAGCTCCGACCCAACGTTGCACCTTTTTTTTCGAGTTGGATCAGGCCAAAAGGCAACCTTCGAATCATAACTTAAAAATTCCCATTGCATTTGATGATAAGCCATACAAATCTCTCACTCTCTCTCTCTCTGTCTTTGCTTTCCCGACCTTTGCTGAGCTTTTCCAATTTTACATTTGGTTCTGTGAGAGGCAATTTGTTGGTTCTCTGTGTTTTACCTTTGCCAATTTTCAATGTAATTTAACTCGAATCGACTTTCCCTGAGACTACAAAACTATTCGAAGGGCACTGTGCTGCTCCTTGGGTTATTGTTTGGCTTGCTTGTTTCTGGTGAGGCGGCATTCAATACACTTTCGAGAAGGTACAGTGCGGTACAATAGCCATGAACATGCCTATTGGTAAATATTTGTTGATTATGCACTAACTTTATGCATTTACTGATTAAATTCCTGGCCAAAACTACACTCAATCGAATCAATAAACCATTATTTAGATACACTGTATGTGTGAGAACGAAACGTACTGTCCAAGCGAAGCTCTCCGTCTTCTATTGACTCAATCTTGGCAGCGTAAACTTTCCACACAGATACTCAGTCACAGGCAAACGCACCCATAGTAATTCGATTTAGTTGTGTGAGTGTACTGGCTGGCTGCCTGTGTGGCGTTTGTGTTCCTGTCATGCATACCCAATAGTTCCGCCTCCTGCTCGGTGAGAACAAGGCACTGGGCTGAAAGTCAAACTATGCACTTGAGTTGGCTGCAGAGAAACTTTAACAAAACACTGAAAGAGCCGGAGCCAGAGCCAGAGCCACAGCCACAGCCATGGCCACAGCAGAAACAACAATCAACACAGAACAATCTAAACAGTGAAACACAAGATAAACTGGGAGTGGCTGTTGGGAGGAGCACGGAGAGCTACCTTTAGGCCTCGATCCAAGCAACAAACACACACACACAAATTGAATGTTCGTGTCGGTGTCAGAAACCCCAAACTGAAAACGAAAACTCACATGAAAAGCCAGCACATTGGAGAGGCTGGCAAAGATGGGCTCCGAGGCAAAGGCCAGCGTGTCCGCACTCTCCTCGACTGTGTGATAGATCTGAAGTATCTGCAGCAAAGACACCAACAGAAAGGTGACTTTTGAAAAGTAATTATCGATGGGGCAGGCAGGTGGGTAACTCACTCTGGGATGACGAAAGCGTTCCAGTGTCTTCACCGAGCTCTTGAGCAGCTCCGTTATGGTCTCCTTGCGACGCGGCTTGTGAAGCTTCTCCGCGACCTTTTTCTCGAAAATAAACACCGAACATTCCTGGCAAAAAGAAGGGAAACATTTCCATTTGTGGCAAGGGGTTTTCGTGTGCTTTTGGGATTGGGGGAGAAAACTCACCTTGTTGTCACTTTTGCGGTATGCATCGTGTATGCGCCAGGCGAGCTCTGGTCCGGCACAGGCCACCGGTTTGCCAATCTCAAAGTACTGCGTAATGGGATTGCCCTCGGCGACGCTCTGCGACGTGGTGGCTGCTGCCACATTGGTGCTCTTGAATTTGGCAAACATTGTGCCGGCGGGCATACCATCGATTAGCTTCGAGAATACATTCGAGAAGCTGCCCTGCCGCTTGGGGCCCGGCTGAACAGGCGGACTGCCGATGGTTGGGGCTGATCCGGCCCCACCTCCTGCCACTGATGGATCCCCGAGTGTTGCACCAGGTACACTCGCGGGTGATGATGACGATGATAGAGATGATAGACGTCCGCGTTGTCCAGCTCCTGCTCCTATTCCCACGCCTGAGGCAGCGACCGATGGACCACCAACCCCTCCCACGCTACCGATACCAACTCCAACTCCAACTCCAGCGCCGACGCCCAGTCCCACTCCATTAAATGTGTCGCATTTCGTTGAAATCACCGTCGAATCACCGAGTCCGAGTCCATTCACGACACCAATACCACCACCACCGCCGGGATAGAGAGAGCCTCGCTTGAGCAGACCCACCTGCGGTGAGGGCAGGCCTCCGATGGAGGAGACCTTGCTTATGTCGAGCACCGTGCTGGCGCTCCGCTGACGTGACGCAATCGTTCCTGGACCCACTCCCACACCCGCACCGACAGCAGCCACACCTCCGCCCACGCCTCCAAACTGCTGCTGCTGCTGGCCAGCTCTGGCTGGTGAACCCGCTGCCACCGCTGCCGCTGCCACTGCACCTGAACCTGAACCTGGACCACCACCCACTCCGACTCCGACTACGGCACCCACTCCTACGCTCGCTCCTGGTCCTGGTCCCACTCCTGCCGCTGCACCGCCAGCCGGTGCTATTCCGATGGCGCTGCCACTGCGACCGCGTTGCACCTCCTCGACACTATCCAAACGAGAGAAAATTCTGGCCGCCGTTGTTGCCGTTTTCTTGTATGTCTGCCCAGCCGCCAATCAGGAGTCGCGTTTCGGCTTCCTTCGCTGGGTCTACCTCTCAGTCTCCTTTGTCCTCCTTCGTCGTCGTCGTCGTCGTCTTCTTGGTACGCTGTTTTCCTTTCAAGTTCGCAAGGCTGCAATGAGGGGGAGAGTCAGCCATGAGTGAGGAAATAAATTTAAATTTCACTTTAATTGCGGCCACTTCACAATGCTCATACGCCCGGTTGGCTCGACAATGAAACCCGGAGGCAGGAGGCACGAAGCACGAAGCCAGGAAAAACCTCATTGCACTGGTACTTAATGCGCTTATGCGACCCAACTCGGCCCGACTTTTGTGTGTTTCATTCATACGTTCATTAAGTGCCAGGCAAAGCGAGGGTTCCTGAAACCTGAAAGCCCAAGAGTCCCATACATTTAGAGCGAATCAGCGAGGAAAACCAAATGTATTTTCATAGCGGTGTCGTTGATAGGCCTAAAATAACGTATACAAATCAAATACAATTGCTGCCAGAGATGTATTGAATATGTAATCCAATGATTGAGTTTATTCTCTTGTAACTGTACACAAAATAGTTTGATTAACTCGTTTAAATCTACCGATAGTCGAAAATGTGTGACAGCTAAGCTTTAATTAATTACAATTAAATATGTGCAGTGAATAATTTAATTTATCTTCCACTATTTCCCCTGCTGCTGCTAAAATGAGTTGAAAAATTCATACTTTCGCCCCAGAATCAGAGTATAGAAATTATTTAGTAATAATTTGCAAATAAACATAATAATAATAAGCTAATAATTAATTACATATTTGTGGCTGATATTTGAAAATGTTTATTTGATTTTGAGTTTCAATGGCTTTGGCCATTTGTTTATGGCCAGCTTTTGAAAAGGTTAATTCATTTGTTTGACCAAATTAATGTCTAAATATTTAATAATCATAATTAAGTGCAAATTTTTCGCTTGCTACAAGTTTCTCTCTGCATTAATAATACCATAACTTTAATGCAATTTATATTTCAACGGAAAGCAACCCATATTAAAGGCATATTTAATTGGCAAACAAAACGAATTTCGACGAATATGCAAAACGCCCCAAATATTATCGAAAAATATCTTCGGTTTTTCATTAAGCACATTCCAACAATTTGTAGCATACACCAATTAAGCGCTCCACAAGAGGGACAATATGTGTAGTTTTTGCTAAACCTCTTTTATCAAATGAACTGCACAAATTCTGCAATCAAAAGAACACACACAGATTGCTGCGCCACAATCGAATAGTTTTCACAATTAATTGATATCTGAATAGCGATTCGATTCCATGATTCACTGCACTCAAAGCATTGTTTTAACAATTGATACGTTAGCATACAAATTTGTATATAAAGAGCATTTCGGATTCGTTGCTTGTCCTAGAAATATAAATTGAGTTTTTGCTTTCATTTTCATGCCATTCTTTCGGTCGCTTTACACAAAACTGCACAATTAAAAAGTTAAATGAGTTTTGCCACCAGCTTCTGTCCATTCAATGCAGATGTCTGTGGGAATGTTTGTTTTGTAAAGAGAGGTGACGGAAACTTTTCATAAATTTATGATAATACGCTCAACACATAATCTCTTTATTGATTGCTGAAAATTGCGACGAGGCAGAGGGCCGAAAGGAAAATGACAAATAAACATAAAGCTTGGCGGAAAAAGCGTCAATTAAATTGCATAAATAGTTTTAGATGTATTTTGCAATTGGCCAAATGGAAACATGATGCAATTTGACTTGCAAAACATGTGTCAAAGTCCCTGTTCATGCCACGAGGCACGTCGCATACACGTTGCTGCACTCCCCATCCCACTCCCCAACGGAGGAGGAGGAACATCGAGCCCCAGCAGTCTGTCTGCTGTTTTTCGGATGGTGTATGTATGTCTTTACATTCTTTGTGCACTGAATTATTCAAGGGCGGTAAACATTTTGGTAAGAGGCACCCAACGGTCGGAAAGCCAGCAAATCGACTTGAGACAACTCGCAGTCAGAGTCAAAGGAAGTCTCAGGGCTGTGCGGGCGGGGGGCACGGGGGCACAAACGAGGGTACATAAATTTTCCAGCAAACGTAAAACTATTTAGTGAAAACATTTACCTTTTGGCTTTTTCCTGCCATTTCCCAGAAAAGTGAGACCAGGACTAAGGCCCATGGATCTGGGATAAGGGCAAAGTAGCGTGAAATTTTTACGTTAAATAAATTGTGCTGATGGTAAATAAATAAAATATGAGAGCCGAGAAACTTGGCCGCATTGTGTGCTTAATGGTGTCTGTACTCAAACGGAACAAACTTCCAACTGTCGAGAGGTGGCGGCAGCAGACGGCAGAACGGACAGACGGACAAATGAATGGCGACACCGGACACGGACCGATGATGGCTAACAGACAGCCAGAATGGCAGCAGGACATCAGGACAGCAGCACAGGACGAGGGCACGACGGTATACCGATTGGCGGTGGTAACTTTCTAGGTCAGCATTTCGCAATCGAGGACAAACAAGCTTAAATATTTAAGACGGTTAAGCGAGGCGAACGAATGCGATTCGGTTTTATGGTATTCCGTTTGTAATCTACTCGCAATAAGTCCATGGAATTTTTATTCTGAATTTAATCATTTAGTTGAAAAAATGTTAAAAGAAATTTATGGCAAGAATCTCTTATTTCTTTCGTGTGGAAATTTTTTTTCAATAACAACTAGTTAGGATAAAGAGATCATTCGGTGAATCAAAATGTCTGCAAATATAAAAGTTTGTACAGATTTGGTTTGCTTTTGTTTCGTTTAAGAACGAGAATTAATGCAAATAGATTAGGCAAAAGGGTAATAAATGCATATACTGTATTTGATATAATTTCCAGGAATTAAATCAAAACTGAATAAATATAATAAAATCGCAGCAACAGCAGCAGAAACAAATCCAAATCCATATATTCTTTCTTTCTATCTGTCTATCTGTCGGAATAAAATTCATTTAATTTATTTTAACTTCAGAGAATTCCCATTAAAAATGCAGGCTTATAAAATACGATGAGACCGACATTAAATGGGAAGATGCTATACCCGTATTGATCCATCATTATTCTATTTTCCGATTGTGCGAGTCCCAACTTTAATTAGCGGGAAGTGCGAGTTTTTAATGGTAGTGGCTTATCCATTGACCTGCTATCAAGTTCCTAATAAATCTCATTGAAAAAGTTAGCGGGCAAAATCGCTGTTAATTTCAATTTAAATTTTATAAAGGCTATCCTCGCGCACCTCAGAGCAGGCAGCGGACGGTGGGAGAGTGGGGGTTGGGGCTTAGAGTGGAAAGCTGTTAATGCGAGCAGCTCGTAGCTGGGATACGTGGACATGCGGCACGGTCCGATTTTATTGATTGCGACATGAGCACGAGCACGGACATAGACGCGGCTGTGGATGAGGACGCAGGCACGGACTAAAGTATCCAAAATTAAATGATAAAAGCGTTTCGTAAACACAAACACAAGAGAAAGTATAAATACGCCGGTGCAGAAGCTTTGGATCCACTTTCGGAGCAAGTTATAGCTATGATTACTTGAGAATTATCTCAATTATTGCGATTTTATTCAAATTTTGTTTTAAAAGTTGCAGAAATTATCTTCACAAAAAACTTTTCTTACGATCAAACACAGATACTTCATGCAACTGAACAACAAACATCTATTCAAAATCGTAGTACCCTCCTGTGTATATCTTAAAAAAAAGAAGAACGAAAGGAAATGGCACAGCGCGCGAGAATTATTTTTGGCCACCAAGAAGCAGAGAGATTTGTGTGTTGCTGTTGTTGTTGTCGTTTTTTGTTGAATGTTATATTTTTGACAAATTGTATATGTATGTGTGTGTGTGTGTTTGTGTGCGTGTATTTGTACGCATTTAAGGTTCTGCAGAGCGTTAAATATTTTTAGCCCAAAGTCAGACGAAGATGCGGCACAAAAGGTAGAACAAAGGAGGCAACAGCAAAAGCAGCATCATGTTGCCAAGCAAAGCGCTGATTGAAGACAAATACACAAACACACACACACACACATACAGGCAAACAGGACTGAAACGAACAGACACAGTGGCCAAAACAAACACACGTACACACAGAGGCACACAGATGTCTCAATTAGAACAAAAAAAGAACTATATGATGGTCCCTTTAGCCATAAACACATACACACACACACATGACAGCAGGACTAGCGTGTGTGTGTGTGTGGCAGTTAGGGCCACTGTGACTGTGCCCCATCTTTTGTTTGCATTTGCCTCGTTTATTGTCCGCCTCGTCCAAGAGAGAGAGACAGAGGAGGGGAGACAAAAGCCACTGTTACAGATGTGTATTGGTTGCGTGACACGAAAACGAAGGATACGAGTAGTCAGGCAGCTCTCTCTTCAGCCAGACATCTCTGCTGTAAGGCGTTGTAATAACTGGACACATTTCCATCGCATACTTTCAAGGGTGTTACTGCTGCTTCTGCTCCTCCCGCACTCAACCAAAAGCAAATTCCTGGAATTGCCATCAGGATGGATAAATTTCCATTCCCCGGATGCCTTAGAGCAGCTGCATTTCCATGGCATTCTTTCGAGAGGTCGCTCTGTTGCAACTGCAGCTGCTGCTTACCAGCTAATTACGCCTCTGGCAGGTGGTTTCACTCTGCCTCGAAATGTCCTAATATCTTATACAACTGAGAAGATTGCTCGCTCTCTCCCTGCCTCCCACTCTCTGTCCATGTAACACTCTTAAAGGGGCAGAGTTCAATACTCCTGCCCTGTCATTGGTCTTGATGGCCGCCATCTCATGCCCACTCTTCTCCCTGCCTGGGTGGGTGCCCTCGGGCCAAGTGCGCACATTTGCATATTACGTATACGGCACGTGAAACGTGCCCAGGGAGCAGAGCTGTTGCTTCTGCTGCTGCTGCTGCTGCGTCTTCTACGTCCCCTACCCCCCACTGTAGGCTACTGCTGCTGCTGCTCCTGTCA